ATTTAAAATCTCAGTTAGGATGCGGCCTTAGCAGGAGCAACTCACTAGGGTTTGGAGCAAAGCCACGGTTTTTAAAAAGCATTATTTAGGATAAAATTCATTACGTCGTGCATGGAGTCCAGTAGCTTAGTTAGCTGATAGAATCGTTGCCAGTTCTTGCTGGAGTTCTCCTCTCTCTTCACAATGGCTTTGCCCAGTTCTTTAATGTAAGACATTCGTAGCTCCTCAAACACTGACTGGCTCTTCAAACCATCCTTCGGCACTGACAAAGCACAAAAACACACAAAGGTTTTGTTACGGTCCTCTGTAAAATGAAGTAATTTGACATCAAACTATGTCATCTGGATTCTCAGGGAACCCGAAACCATTTGGATCAAGCATTAATGGCTTCTAAAGAAGTCACCTGTGCTCAGGAGCAGAAGGACTTTCATGCACAGGTACTCCTCGTTGGACACTTGCAGTCTCACAAACTCATTGGAGATCTTCAGCATCTGTTCACACTGATCAGTCATGTAGGGCAACCTCATCCTTTCTCTGCAGACAGACACACAAGACTCTAATTTAGGCTTTTATTGGCAGTTAAAGGAATAGTTCTCCCAAAAATTGAAATTTGCTCACCCTTAGGCCATCCAAGATGGAGATGAGTTTGTTTGTTGATTGGAAGAGATTTGGAGAAATTTAGAATCACATCACTTTCTCACCAAAGGATCCTCTGCAGTGAATGGGTGCCGTCAGAATGAAGTATAGGAAGTCTTATTATAGACTGGTATTTTATTAAAAAGCAACGGTTTAAAGTTAAAAACGTCTTAATGACAGCTTTTGGCTTCACAAGATGTTAACTGATGGACTGGAGTGGTGTGGATTACTTGTGGATTATTGTGATGTTTTTATCAGCTGTTTGGACTCTCATTCTGACGGCACCCATTCACTGCAGAGCATCCACTGCTGAGCAAGTGATGCAATGCTACATTTCTCCAGATCTGATGAAGAAACAAACTCATCTACATCTTGGATGGCCTGAGGGTGAGGACATTTTCAACAGACGATAACATTTTGTTTATAATGACTGCACTTCCCATTAAAGCTGGGTGTATTTTGATTGGCTGACCATGTTTTTATTGTTCATCAGCTAGAAAAAAATCATTCTGTACGTGATTCTAACGATAGTTGTGGTGTAACCTATTCGCATAGAATTAGAACTACTATTCCACACTTTATAGTTATTATTTTCATTATAGTTTCCATGGTGTGAACGCATCTTTAAACCGCCATAGAGATTATTAAAGCAAATGGCCTGTTTAATGAGAGACATACTCATTGATGACCAGGTCTGGTGCGAAACACAGCATGTTTCCATTGCACTGCTGGTATGACCTCCAACCGAGTCCGAAGGACATGAGGAACAGCCAGGAACACTGCAGGAGGGTCATCTGATCATCCAGGTGAAGGTTCCGGAACCCTAAAAAGAGCAAAACAGAGGTTTTAGTGCATGCTGCGGTTGAAGATTTTCCACACGGCTTTTTAAAGACGTCTCAAGTAGAGATGTAACGATTCACTTTTCCTTTGGGGACATAATTTGAAGTTGGAAAAAGGTAATAAATTACAATATAATCGCAGAATATCGCAATATATTTAAAATCACAATAATATTGTATTGTGACACAAGTATCGTGATAATATCGTATCGTGAGGCCTCTGGTGATTCCCACCCCTATGATTTAAGACAAATTATAAATGAGAAGGTGTCCTTTTATTATTTCTCATACAAAATGCTGCACATATCTTTGTGAAATTTAAATGTCAAATAACAAAACTAAATAAAAAATGTAAAACAAATCCCAAATAAAATAAATAAATAATACAAATAAAAGAAAAAAAACTAAGACTTGGCCTGTGCTCTTTCTATGCAGGCAATTCACTGCATTTCTATTACGATCCAAACAAAGAGCAGTTTTTGATTTAAATTAGATTGTACAATTTCAAAACTTGAAGGAAAAACAGAATGTTCCAACTTTAGCATTGTGAAACTATACTACATCTGCACAAAACAAAAACAGCAGATGGGCTGAATGAGAATGCAGATTCACTCTCTGACAGCAGGTGGCACTTGTGGAACAGCAGCTGTAAACAAAGCAGCTGCGCTTATGAACACTACTTTAATACGCATCGCACGGAGGCAAGATGAAAAGAAAATACCATCTAAACTTTTCTGAAGACCGTTCCACTCAGAGACACATTCATATAAACCCCCAAGATTTATTTAAAGTGCCCCTATTATGGATTTTTGAAAATTACCTTTCATGCAGTGTGTAACACAGCTCTAAGTGAATGAAAACATCCTGCAAAGTTTTAAATCTGAAAGTGCATCGTGTATAAAGTTATTGTCTCTCAAAAGAAAGAGTTGACTCTGAATCATTGAAGCGAGTCGTTTTTAAAAACGAATCCCAAGCCGTTTCATGTTGACGTCAACATGAAAAATTAGCATATTGCCCGCCCACTTGTTTGTCTTTTTACGTTGGTCTGAATGAAAATGCAAATTCATTCTTCGCCACTAGGTGCCGCTTTTGGAGCGGTAAAATAGCGGTTTCCCCGGTAACGCTGTACACAAAGCAGCACTGCGCTCACAAACGCTGCTTTATCAGGCATTACAGGCTAGATGAAATAGAAATGAAACCAATCGGACCAATCACCGCAGATTAGCGTCACGCAAAGTAGGGGTTTGGAAAAATGAATCGTTGAGCGAATCGTTTGGGAGTCGTTGAGCAAGTGAGGTAAAAATAAATGCATATTATAAGATAACGAAAGTGATTTTTGACCTGTTGTTGGGGACTCATAAAACCAAAATATGAACCTTTCATTACCCATAACAGTGGCACTTAAAACATCTCAACTGACTTGAATCGTCACATATTTTCAACCGGCTCGGGGTGCATCGTTACATCCCTATTCTCAAGATGTACCTGGCAGAGCTTTGGCCCATTTGACCGCAGAGATGACCTGCCGGCCGCCCAGTCGGTTCAGAGTGGTCATGAGGCGGGTGGAGGTGTCAGGGATGGTGCTGTCGTATCCGGCGTAGATGGTGTCCGGCTCGATGGCCTTTAGCAGTGACAGCATGGTGGGCACCACCTGAGGCATGGGTTTGGGCACCAGTGCCTGGACTTCGGGCAGCGGAGGAAGACTGCACTCTGGAATCGACGGCTGCTGGATTACCTTGCCGATTTGACGGCCCCTCTTGGTTTTACGGGCTGAGCGTTGAATAAGGAAAGTTTACGACAGTCAGTTTTCAAACTTTATGCATTTCCTGTCATTGAAGTTTTGTTATACATCTAAAATTACATTTGGGGACACACTGGTGTAATTATGTAACAAGTGCAACATTTCGTGTTACCCTCTAGGTTCATGCCTGCCATGAGGCATCTGCGGTAACGACAGGCAGGGCAGTTCTTCCGGCGGATTTTGTCAATGATGCAATCGTTTCGTCCAGCACACAGGTAATTGTGTTGCCCTACGAGAATCAAGAATAGTGTGGATTAGACAGGAGTCTGTCTCAGGAGTCCCTCATCATGCACAGCTGTCAAACACTGTACTGAACCCCACTGCATTGCTTTTAATTGCTTTTTTTTTTTACACGCAGAGCCGTAGTTCGTACTGTTAAAATATATGCACTTAAAATACACACTGATTAGCTGTAAACTCTAACTGACGTCATCTGTCTGCATTAGAGTGATGTTATCAGAATGCATTTCCTCTGTCAGCCAGAGATGCATTTCAACACCCACAGGATAAAAAGCATTTTGACTGACGAATGACTCATAGTACGAGTTGTCTGAAATAGACATGCAGTGAGAAAGTAAAAACACGCTAGAAGGATGTGTCTCTAACTCTACGTAATCAGGTCAAGAAAGACAGAGGTAAATAATCACATAATCACATCACTAATTTGTCTCGATCACCTGCCTTTCTGTGAAAAAGAAGCTTGCTTAATTGTATTGAATGTGCACTTAAAGCAATTTTTTTTAAAGGTACTTGTAGATAATATAATATTAATTAAATAAAAGGCCACTTAACTGTACTTAAAGAGTGTACAAAGAGTGTTTCGTGGCTGTTTCTTAACACACTTAAGTACAATTTGCAATAAAGTTAAATGAAAAGTTTTAAAGTACATTTTAAATCATTATGTTTTAATATTTTGCCATGCTTATAGTACATTTTTAATGTGATGACAAACATACAGTACTAAAGCACATGCAACATAATTAGAATTTTAACTGCAGTGTTCATTACTAATCAATTACATTTGAAGTTAATATATTTAATGTATATAATGTATATTGTATAATATATATAATGTATTAAACTGACTTTATCACTACAAATGTGTAATATATTTTCAATAGAAATTACATTAGAATGTATCATAATTTACCATAAATACACGTCAGCACATTCAGCAGTACATTTTAACCATATTTCAAGGATACTATTCTAAAATTACATATAAATATGCACTAGGGTCGTTCCGTGTCAAATCAACCAAATTGCAGAAACTTTACTGGCTCAAAGTTTTGGAAAGATAAACATGTATAGTGATGAAAGCCAAAATATTAAAAGTCATGAATGTACATTTACTGAGCAATCCACTATTTTGTAGAGGGCGTTCAAAATGACCTTTTATACCTGAAATTCATAGCCAAACCACAGGGGGGGTAAAAATGCCTTTAGAAAGATGGCAGCATCATGTTTTTTTACACAGAGATTGGTAGGTCTGTAACTAAAATCTATTAAGCAATCCCTGTTGCATTATATGCCAATGGTGACCATTCAAAAGTAGGGAAAAAGCACTTTTCAAGTTTTTTCTCCAAAGTTTGCATGTCTGTAACTCAAGAAATATTCAAGATATCTTAATGCCCTTTTAGATATTGGGTCTTAACAAACTTTCCTTTTGGCATCTTTATTTTTAAGGCCATGGTATGGTATGGTTTGGTTAAGTTCCAGAGATACTGGGATCTAAATATGGCTCCAGGAGTAAATTGTCAAACTGTACACATTTCCAGTGGCCATAAACCAAAAGTGGATCACTATTCATACAAGAACAAATAACGTTGAAACTAGAAATGTGTCTTGTCTCCCTCTATCAAAACAATTGCATAGCACAGACCTGTCTGCAAGTCGACTTTTTTGACTTTTTCCAAAGTTTGCATGCCTGTAACTCAAGAAGTATTAAAGATATCTCAATATGATTTTAGATTCTAGTTCTTAATAAACTATAATTAACCATATAATGAACCATATACCCAGAGATATGGGGATCTCAAGACAGCTGCATGTTCAGATTGTTGAATATCACCAATTTTCAGCAGATTACTCATTTAATACTTATGAGATTCTTTCACCAAAAAAAATATTAAAATAAAAAATTTGCACCGGGGACCTCTGGTGTTTCAAAAAAGGCAAAGCGCAGTAAATACAGTAAAGGCCATAGATATAAAACAGAATATAGGTGTCAAGACTTCCTCACCTTCAACTGCTCTCTTAAAGAAGACTTTACAGCTTCCACAGGTGAGGACTCCATAATGGCAGCCTGAAGCTTCATCAGAGCACACAAGACAGCTCTTGTGTGTGCCGGACTTCCCAGCAGCTGAGGATGTGGCAGTGCTACCTTCAAGTCTGAAAACACACAAAGCACAGGGATACGTGTATATTAATGAACAGGAATAATGAATTAATACTGTTCAGCAGGAACGGCAAGAACTAACCATCAGCACACATTCTCTTATATCTTTTTACTAACATAGTAAAATAAGTAATGCAATGATTACACATCATGAGAATGAGGATGTGAAACTGGCCACCAGGGGGCGATGGCTGAACGTAGCCTAAACGTTTAGCACTGCTCCACCTCCACACTGAGCCACATTTGCAATGCCTACACATGCATTCAGCGTGAGAGAAAGACTATGAGTAGAGAATATGAGTAGGGTCACAGTGTAGTAGATGCATGAAAATCCATCAAGTGAAGCAGAGCGAAAAGGA